AATTGATCACAGATTCATAATAATACTACATGCCCATAGCAGTTTCAGATTTCGGTGGGATAAGGAAGGGTTAACTGGGTTGGGTAATGATCATTTCAGTTCTCCAACTGCTGGGCCAGATACAGCCAAAATGGCCCCATCTGTACTTGAAAGAACCCTGTGGTTTGCAGAAGTGCAACTTGGGGGGGGGGCTAAAGAATGGAATCCCCCCCACCAAAACAGTCCTGTGAAGAGCATGCAAGTCCCACTTAGAATCATAGAATTGTGAAGTTGGAAGGGACCCCAAATGTCATCTAGTCCAACCCCCTGCAATGCCGGAATCTCCACTAAGGCATCCATGACTGATGGCCATCCAACCTCTGCTTAGAAGCCTCCAGAGTCCACCACCTTCTGAGGGAGTCTGTTCCACAAACAGCTCTTACTGTCAGAAGGTTCAGTCAGAATCTCCTTTATTGTAAATTGAAGTCATTTGTTGTAGTCCTGCTCTCCAGACCAGGAGGAAATCAGCTTGCTCCATCTTCCATGGGACAGCCCTTTAGATATTTGAAGTGCATATATATTTAATCCACAAAGTGATTACACAGAGAATCGCCGTCATCTCTGGAGGTCAGTTCTAAGAGTTTATCACTAATAGAAATATATATATTTTTCATTAACAAGCTCCCAGGCAAACGGATGCTTCAGGTCCTGTTCCAACAAGCAAATCGTCAACACTGGGTAACTTCTATCACCTCCCTTCATATCTCAAGCTGTATGATGTTTTGAAAGCTACCCATGCTAACTATAAGGTACTATCTCCTCCTGCACTTAAATCTATCTTCCAAACATAGTATGTCTGCATGCTCTGATGTTACTGAGTTAATTCATATTGTAAATTGTATTTTCTTAGGGTTCCAAGTCATAGCTTAGCAGCAAGCATTAGAGAAGCGTATTTTTTGTTTGATTTCTTGAGCCCACTTGCTGCATAAAAACAACATACAGAATACCTAAATGAAGCATATTAAATTTAACCCACAAAATTAAATGAAGCACAGCCTTATTTCCAAACCTTTTCCTGCTTAGCTTTCAGGACCATGGTTTTCCAGATTCTGAAGCTCCTCCATCCGTGTGGATGTCACCTTTCTTACTTTTCTAGCTTTGTTTCTATTTCTTTAACATAGACAAATACAACGAAATTAAGCAAATAAAGTTTTCCCACTCCTCCTTCTTTCTGCTTGGAAATGCTTCAGTTCCTTAATTTTTTTGTAGTAGGTTCTGTTTTTGATAGCAATCCTTTGCCTGCCTATTAGTAGTCTGTTGATAAGTAGTTTGATGGGGTGTATTATCAGATAACTGGTTGCAGAGTTTTACAAGCTTGCTAAATGGTTATTATGCTCTTAATTTATTATTATTATTATTTTGTATCGGTGGATAAGGTTACACTGGATCTCCAGAACAGCAACGAAAAGTTTGGTGGATTTCTGCGGTCTGCTTTGGATGTCCTCTCTCAGATTTTAGAGCTTGCCACCCTTCAAGATGTTGGAAAAGTGGGTTAATAATTACTTGTAATGCTTTTTAATGACTGTGTCACTACATCAACCAGAGAAACAAGTCTTAATCATTTTACAAGTTATCCTCAGACTGGATGTGATGGTGTATTTTGTTAAATACAGTGGTGCCCCGCAAGACGAATGCCCCGCAAGACGAAAAACCCGCTAGACGAAAGGGTTTTCCGTTTCTGAGTTGCTTCGCAAGACAATTTTCCCTATGGGCTTGCTTCGCAAGACAAAAACGTCTTGCGAGTCTTGCAATTTTTTTCCGCTCCCCCCCCCTTTTTCTAAGCCGCTAAGCCGCTGATAGCCTTTTAGCCGCTAAGCCGCTAAGCCTTTAATAGCTGCTAAGCCAATAAACCGCTAATAGCACTAATCCGCTAAGCCACTAATAGGGTTGCTTCGCAAGACGAAAAAACTGCTAGACGAAGAGAATCACGGAACGGATTATTTTCGTCTTGCGAGGCACCACTGTAATTCCTGCCCCTATTAGTTGGTACCAGAAGTTGGCTTTAAAGATTTGGACTTCAACCTCTTCCGTCCATGCCAAGATTTTTTTACATTTCTTTCTACTTTCAAATCCCCAAAAGTGGCTTAACAAGCAGCCTGTCAGACTCTTATAAGAATGAAATGACTCAGAAGTCTCAGTGTACATGCAAAGCTTCTCAGGTAGTTCAATGGGCCATGGTTTTTGACAGAATCCAGGAGTGTGTTTGTGTGCACACGTACACCACAATGATGTCAGTTGAACTTAAGTATATGTAAACAAAGCTACGATTTGCTCGTTGTTGGATCTGCTTCTTCTATTTGGGGATCAATGTGTCCCCTGTTTCCAGGCACAGCCCTTGTGTGTTGCATGATAAGCCATCCTTGAAACTCTGGAGAGGTTCCTTAGCATTCTCCAGAGCAGTTGGGGGAGGTGCTATTAGAGCAGCGGTGCAAATGAAAAATAGCACTGCTTTCCATTTCTGAATCATAGGAACAAAAGAAGCTGCTTTTATACCAGGAGTAGAGAATCTCTGGCCCGGGGCCCAAATTTAACTCGCCATGACTCACAATTTGGCCCGTATGTGATATCTGTTGTGGGGCAAGTAGAGACACAGATGGGGAACTCGATTGCACAGCCAGTCCCTGCAGAAAGCAGAGTTGAAGTCAATGCTCATCATCTGATGGATGTTGCATTTAACCGTCCTGAATGGGCTGTGGGACTGGAGTTTCCCCATTGGGAACCTGATGATGCTGTCAGTCCCTGCAGAAAGCACCTTTGTCAGCCCTACACTCAGTGCTTTGTGCTTAAGTATAGGGCAAGGGATTTTGACAGCTGAGTGAGATAGCTGGGTGGCTAATGGACAGGTAAGCTGGCCTGCAGGGGTGGGGACAGATGACAATCTGGCCCATTGGCCCAAAAGGTTCCCTGCTTTATATTGAGTCACACCATTGATCCATCTACCTCAGTATTGTCTGCAGTGACTAGTAGCTCTCCAGGATTTCAGACAGGGGTTTCTCCTATCCCCTGCCAGGGGATGGACTAGGGCCCCTTCTATATGCAAAGCAGATATTCTACCACTGTCCTTACAGATATCCTTAGATTTTAGGTATGCTTCACTCAGTATATGCCATCACAATGAAATGTTTAACATACACAATTTTGAAGGACTATTTACAAGTGTTTTCACTGATCTACTTGCTGAGGTAACATTACAGAATTACAATTACTTTATAAACGCCCATGTAAAGAAATACTCTGGGAGCTATGTCACTATTATCATTGATAACAATATTTATTCTTTGTTTTCTGTTCCCCTCCTGTTCCTTAATTTAATAGTTCAATATAATAAAATTGATGTGACAATAACAAGCTCCTCACATCATGTGATATGTGTGCGTGTGTAGCAGTATCTTTATAAATAAAGTCTGGCTAAACTGCAACTTTTTGAAATTTCTCTGTTTATAGTATGTTGAAGAAATTTTGGGTTATCTGAAATCCTGTTTCAGCAGAGAACCAATGATGGCAACTGTATGTGTGCAACAGGTAAAAAGAAAAAAAAATGTTTTCTTTCAACATTCTTAACCTTGCCTGAATTTGCCTAATTTCAGACTTCTTTTCCCATTTCCCCTAGTTGCTAAAGACATTGTTTGGCACCAACTTGGCATCACAATACGATTGCTTGTCTTCAAATCCTAGCAGATCCCAAGGCAAAGCCCAGCGCCTAGGCTCTTCAAACTTGAGGCCGGGTCTTTATCATTATTGCTTCATGGCTCCTTACACACATTTTACACAGGCACTTGCTGACGCAAGCTTAAGGAATATGATGCAGGCTGAACAAGAACATGATACTTCTGGGTAAGAGTAACTTTTATCCTTTTATTTCAATAGTATTCCTTTATTTACATTACAGTGGTACCTCTGGATACGAATGGGATCCGTTCCGGAGCCCCGTTCGCATCCTGAAGTAAACGTAATACGCGACTGTGCAGGTTGTGTTTTGCTGCTTCCGCACATGCGTGTGACGTCATTTTGAGTGTCTGTGCATGCGCAAGTGGTGAAACCCAGAAGTAATGTACTCCGTTACTTCCGGGTCGCAGTGGAGCACAACCCAAAAATATTCATCCTGAAGCTACTTCAACACGAGGTATGACTGTATATCTATCTACACACACACACACACACACACACACACACACACACTCTCCTTGTAATGCATAGATGAAGAGAAGCAGGATATAATACACATTTTACTGCAGTCCTGTGCATGCGTACTAAAAAATAAGTGCCCCTGTGTTCAGTGGAGCTCACTCCCAGATAATTGTGAATAGGATGACTGTTACAGTACAATCTTGTAGTTATCTACTCAGAAGTAAGACTTACTGCCATGTAAGGGACGTCAGTGGCACTGTGGCCTAAACCACCAGGCCTCTTGGGCTTGCCTAAGTTCAGAAGTCTTGCAGCCCAGGAAGTTAAAGCCATTCACATTAGCCAGCATGTGGGCCTGCAAGGAAGCTCACACATGCGCTGCGCTGCCAAGTTTCTGAGGACACGGCTTCTACTCTTCTTTCCATGGGTTCATAAAGTTCTAATTAGACCACATCAGCTGGAGCCCTCTGAAAACAGAAATTCATTTTTTTTATGATACCCATAAATAAAGCTGATATTTTAAGGCCAGGAGCAGGAAGAAGGATTCAGAAGCCAAGCCCAAGCAGCTCACCTGTTAAATTATTTGTGCATTTACTGCACTTGTGGTGCTCCTCTTGTATTGCAGTATAAACCACTCCAGCCTAACCACAGGCCTTCTTGAAATTAGATCAGTTTAATAATAATAATAATAATAATAATAATAATAATATACTGACCTTCCTCCAAAAGAGCACAGGGTGGCTTCCACTACTCTCTGCAACAATATAGATATTCTAAAACAAATGTGCACTAATGATCTGCGCGCCCGACGGCTCTCTGCCAGCTCCGAAGCTGCAATGTCCGGGGAAGAGGCGGCCGGGGGCGACGCGGGCGCCCCGCAAAGCGCCACCGAGGCGCCACCCGAGCAGCAGCAAGAAGCCACTCCGGCCGCGCAGCCCGCCGAGGAGGGCAAGGCTGCGGGGGCCCCGTCGGAGGCGGCTGCCGCTGCTCCCGGGCGCCAGTACCGGGCGCTGGTGCTGAGCGGCTTCGGCGGCTACGAGAAAGTGAAGGTGCAGACGCGGCAGCTGCCGGCCGCCGAGCCCAGCCCGGCCGCGGGCCAAGTCAGCGTGGAGGTGCGGGCCTGCGGGCTCAACTTCGCGGATCTGCTGGCCCGACAGGGGGTGTACGACAGGCTGCCGCCGCTGCCCTTCAGCCCGGGCATGGAGGCGGCCGGCACCGTCTTGGCCGTGGGCGAGGGCGTCTCCAGCCCCAAGGTAGGTGAGAAGGTGATGGTGATGGCCAGGTCGGGGCTCTGGCAGGAAATTGTGACCGTCCAAGCCAACCAGACATTCCCCATGCCGGAAGGGATGAGTTTCGAGGAAGCAGCTGCTTTTTTGGTCAACTACATCACCGCCTATATGGTCCTCTTTGACTTCGGCAACCTGCGACCCAACCAGAGCGTCCTGGTCCACATGGCAGCAGGTGGCGTGGGGACTGCAGCCGTCCAGCTCTGCAAAACTGTGGAGAACGTCACTGTTTTTGGTACAGCTTCTGCCTCCAAACATGAAATCCTCAAGGAGAATGGGGTCACCCACCCAATCGACTACCGGACAGCTGATTATGTGGCAGAAGTCCGGAAAATCTCCCCAAAGGTGTAGATGTCGTCTTAGACCCTCTGGGGGGTTCAGATACCACAAAAGGCTTTAATCTCCTGAAGCCAATGGGGAAACTAGTCACCTACGGTGTAGCCAACTTGGTAACAGGGCAGAGGAAGAACCTGATGGCCATGGCTAAGACCTGGTGGAACCAGTTCAGCATCAATGCCTTGCAGCTCCTGCATCTCAACAAGGCCGTCTGCGGCTACCACCTGGGCTACCTAGATGAGGAGGTGGAGCTCTTGAGCAGTGTGGTGAACAAGCTGTTGGCCCTCTACAACCAAGGCAAAATCAAGCCCAAGGTGGACTCCGTTTGGCCCTTTGATCAGGTGGTAGATGCCATGAAGCAGATGCAAGAGAAGAAGAACGTTGGGAAAGTTGTGCTGATTCCCGAAGCACCACCGAAGGACGAAAGCAAAGCAGCAGAAAACTAAAGTGAAAGGCGTGGGTGGATTGTCTGACCTCAGGTCCTCATGTTGTTGTATTTTGGGTTGTGTTATTTTTTTTTATTTTTATTTTTTAAAACCTGTCCCCTCTCCCCATGTCTGACCCTTTGATGGAAGTAGGAATGGGCATATAGATCTCTCACTGCTGTTCATGGAATAAGTGGTGTAAGGACCGAAAAGACACATGTATTGTCGTCGGCTGGAGGCGATGCAAGCTTCTGGGTTTCACAGAACGCTTTGCACCATCTCTAAAGCATTGGCCGGCCTCCTTTCAAAAGTAAATAAATAGAAAGTAATCACAGAGAGGAATTGCATTGATCCTACATCTCTGCTCCTGTAGCGTTAACACTTCATTAAAGGAATAACGAGGCCCAAAATTAATAAAAAAAATAAAAAAACAAAAAAACAAAAAAAACAAATGTGCACTAATAATAAGTATTAATTTTTGTTTTCTATAGGTGGTTTGATATATTGCAAAAAGTTTCTACCCAACTAAAAGCTGGCATGTCAAATGCAGTGAAGAATCGTGCTGACAAGGTACGAGCAGAAATACATTTCTAAAACTGTTGCTTGTTGCATTTTATTCATTATGGTATTGATTTTTTCTCTTGTCACTGTTACATGGATTTTTATCATGTTTTAGCTGAAAGGAACAGAATTAGTTACATAAATGCAAGTATAAAGACAGAAATTTTCTGTGACAGCAGCAGACCTTTCTCTTTAAATGCAGGTCTGCCCCATTCACTGATACAGAGGCATGTAGATCAGAGGAGATAAACCTTTTTTTTCCTGTGGTTTCCTTTGCCACAGACACAGAATGCTTTACCTCCCCCCTCCCACCCCAAGCAGGGCTAACTTTCATTATTAGAGCTCAATTGAGGGGGGAGTCCCTGCTTTATTCAAAAATCATGGAAGACTTGCCTATAAAGAAATGAGGTTGACATTTTCCATTCTAGTTTGACCTAAGTGTTTCTAAAACGTTTCAATCCCAAACCCTGTGCCAGCTTTTCACAAAACAGATTTATTGGAATTATTGGAACTGGGCCCGTGATCATGACAGGAAACCTTTTGTCACTTTAGGTTGACAATTAAATGCAATATTTTCACACTGGAATCCAATTTAATTCCTGCATTTCCCCTTTTTCGTAGAATATTATTCATAATCACATTCGCTTGTTTGAGCCCCTTGTCATCAAAGCATTAAAACAGTATACCACAACAACATCTGTACAGCTGCAGAGGCAAGTTTTGGATCTTCTTGCACAACTGGTTCAGCTACGGGTTAACTATTGTCTACTAGACTCCGATCAGGTAAGTCCTTCAGTTTCACTTACGTGGAATTGATTAAAGAGGAGTGGCCATTTGTGTTCTTACTCAAATTGACATAATGTATGATTATAGACTAATAAGATTGACTTATGACTTCAGTGGAGAAGATGTAAAGGTAAAGGTACCCCTGCCCGTACGGGCCAGTCTTGACAGACTGTAGGGTTGTGCGCCCATCTCACTCAAGAGGCCGGGGGCCAGCGCTGTCCGGAGACACTTCCGGGTCACGTGGCCAGCGTGACAAAGCTGCATCTGGCGAGCCAGTGCAGCACACGGAAATGCCATTTACCTTCCCGCCAGTAAGCGGTCCCTATTTATCTACTTGCACCTGGGGGTGCTTTCGAACTGCTAGGTTGGCAGGCGCTGGGACCGAGCAACGGGAGCGCACCCCACCGCGGGGATTCGAACCGCCGACCTTTTGATCGGCAAGCCCTAGGCGCTGAGGCTTTTACCCACAGCGCCACCCACAGATGTGATTTGTGTTAAAGAAAAAAATCATGTCCTTATTTTCTGAAACCTAATAATTTACTCTCGTTCTTGGTTTGGCTGACTGCCACTTCACCTCCTTTGAAATAAAGCATTGCTGCAGATTGTGCTATTGGATATACTGTATATATTAAATATGGTAGAAGCTTTTACTCAATACTCATTGAATTCAGGATCCTGCAGGATGTAGAAAATGGCCCGTGTACTCCTGGAATAGTGAGGGAAATATTTGCCCTCCTACTTACTCCAGAGGGCCGTCTCCTTCCCCGAAAAGTGTTTTGGCTGCTCTGTTATCATGGGCACATGTGTGGAAGGTGTAGGCAGGGTCAAACAGGGGTGCCGTGTTCCTACCACTTCAATTGCTCGTTCTTAGTTTTCTCAGGTTTTCATTGGTTGTGGTTACATTCTCCCTTCCCACCCCCACTCCTGACCATGTATACTTCTAATGGAGGAAACTGTTTCATTCCCCATTCTGGACTAGGAAACCAGGAAGCTTCTTCCCCTAAGTGGTGTCCGAAGTGACCCTGTCTTCATACCATGATGATGTGCAGAGAAACTGGCAGGAAAAGGGAACTTTATAGTAAATTTAGAAACACATTTGGCAACTGGAATATTGGTCGCTACAAGAATTGTTCATTTTCTTTTTAGCATACAGGCGGTGACCATTTTGCACACATCCCAAAAATGTGCAACTACTGCCACACGAGTCTGATGGGGGGGCGCGCGCTAGGAATGAGCCCCATGTAAATTGCATTTGTGCAATAATATGTACATTATGTGGAGTCATATGAACAGCAAGTGGTTGTTTTAAAAAGCCTGATCAGGTGTTTAATCCCAATGCACATTAAGTGTTTTGACTTGTTAAACTTTTGGTGGGGCATAGATTATTGCAGATTTTTTTGTTTGTTTGCAGGTTTTCATTGGATTTGTGCTAAAGCAGTTTGAATACATTGAAGTGGGACAGTTCAGGTATAAATCAAGTCTCATACAGGCCTGTGGAATTATTTATATAAAAATTTGAATGCAGGTCCAATTTTTAAATGATTTTCATTTTTCCAAAAATTGCTTCCTCGTGGCAATTGGGGGTAGATGGGAAATTAGATCCCTGTTAGAAGACATCTGAAGGCAGCCCTGTTTAGGGAAGCTTTTAACATTTAATAGGTTATTGTATTTTAATGTTCTGTTGGAAGCCGCCCAGAGTGGCTGGGGAAACCCAGCCAGATGGGCGGGGTATAAATAATAAATTATTATTATTACTACTATTGCCCAGACCTCCCCCCCTTTCTGCACCATAGCAGTTGTGTCACTAAATGGGGAGCATTGGCGCAGATCCCCTCCCCATCCAAGTTAGGGTAATACCACTTAATTTGCTTTCAGTGGTGCTGACATGTCATCATTATGTCATCGCAATGTATGATCCATAATTGGCTGAGATCATGCAATGGGAGAGGGAAATGGCATCAAAAGGACACAAAAACAGTGGTTGTCTTTTTCATTTTTTAAAATGGGATGTCATCCTCCCACAACCAAGAAAGAAATTAGATCACGGGGATGATCTTCTCTCACTGCTCTGCATTTAGGAATATTTAAATTATAGAGTTATTAGGCTTAAGATTCTTTTGTCATTAGCTGAATCTAGTTCTCAGCTGTTTGAGCCCTCAAAACGGAGTGGTCCTTCTTCTTCTGGCAGTTTCAGAAGTCTCTTAAAATATTTCTCTTCCTTTTTCTCTCTCTAGGGAATCAGAAGCAATTATTCCTAGTATCTTTTTCTTCCTGGTATTGTTGTCTTATGAGCGCTACCATTCCAAACAGATAATTGGAATTCCTAAAATTATTCAGCTGTGTGATGGGATAATGGCCAGTGGAAGGAAAGCCGTTACACATGGTAATTAAAGAGTAAAGTTGCAAAACGAATGTTCGGTATATCAAGTGCTAAAAGGTTGTAAGGGTTTTGTGGCGCTGGATTTGAGAATTATTCCAATCATTTTAAAAATTTGCAGGAGAATTTATGTGCTTTCTTTACATCCTGCCTTTTCCTCCTTTTAATAAGGGACTTTATGCAAGAAACTTTTCACTAGCAGTTGTTGACCTATTCAAGAAATACAGTGGTGCCTCGCAAGATGAAATTAATTTGTTCCACGAGTTTTGTCGTCTTACGATTTTTTCGTCTTGCGAAGCACGGTGTCGGAAAAGTTTTGGAAAAGCTTTAAAAATCACCAAAGTCTTCAAAAACCTCAAAAAAGGCTACCACACCGCGTTCTCTGAGGTGCTCCTCGAAGTCAAGTCGCAACTGTATTAACGGTTTCAAGAAAAAGGAAACAAACTTGCAAGACGTTTCCGTCTTGCGAAGCAAGCCCATAGGGAAAATCATCTTGCGAAGCAACTCAAAAAACAAAACCCCCTTTCGTCTTGCGAGTTTTCCGTCTTGCAAGGCATTCGTCTTGCGAAGTACCACTGTACTCTTCTATTGGGAAGAATATTTTTGTTACTTTAACTGTGTTAGCTAGGTTCTTTGCCATCTGGGTGTGTGGTTATTCTTTATTTACAAGAGCTAGATCATCTTAACCGTAAACTTTTGTTTCTTGCACTAAGCAGAGATAAAAGGCTTGGCTTCTGAATCCTTCCCCCCTACTCCTGGCCTTAAAATACAAGTGTCATAAAAACACACACATTAAAGATGCATTAGTCCTAAAGTTTGACAGCAGAACGTCTATAGTTAAGAGTTTACATGTTTTAGTTCTGTTACATTTTAATTTAAAATTGATATTGTAACTTTTTTGTAGCAATACCTGCTCTGCAGCCCATTGTTCATGATCTGTTTATATTAAGAGGAACAAACAAAGCTGATGCTGGGAAAGAACTGGAGACGCAAAAAGAAGTGGTCGTCTCAATGTTGTTGAGGCTTATCCAGTACCATCAGGTAAATTGTGTGGGCATGCTTGTAGGCTAATTCGTATGTCCATTTTTGTTTAGAATAGTTTGGGTGGAAGGTCTTGAATTCCATGTTATGTTCCTTTCTGTGACAGTCTTCCAGCACCTTGTATGTTTTTCTGTAGGAAAAAAATTCTAATACGTTTCTATATTTTTTCTTCTTGGTTTGAAATACTTTTATCTGCCTCTTGCTCGTAAGGGTTTCAAGGTAACTTAAGAATCAGTAACATCAATAAAAAACAATTTGAATAAAATATCATAATATTTCATATTTAATGCAAACTACTGAAAGAGGATCAATATTAAAATAGCAAAATTATTCATAGTCAGTCACTGAATGCTTGAGGAGTGCTTGTTGTGTATTTTATTGTTTGTTTGTTTATGTTTGTTTATAATTTTCTTTATTTGTTTCTTTATTTTATATTTTGTTTTTATATTTTTTGTTTGATTATTTGTTTAATTTTTGTTTACATATATTTATATTTTGAAGTTTGTTTGTATTTTTGTTTACTTGTTTGTATTTTTGTTGATTGATTGATTGATTGGCACCATGTGTGTCTTGAGTGCACCCAAGTGGGAGCTGCCTTATACATTACAATGGAAACATGGGGACCACTATGAAATAAG